TGACAGACGGGTTTTGTCCGCTTTCCACGTAAGGACTTCCTGTTGGACATTCGGTAGTAATGTGAAATTTGCATGAAAAATTCGCAGGTTAGACGTTTCGTTTTTCACCAAGTCATCTACACAAACGAGAAATAGGCACTGAGTTATCGAATGCGCCCCAAACGACAGTAAAATGACCACTGACTTGAATGGAGATTGTGAGCTCAGTGGAGGATACGTGCTAAGTAAATATGGGTGTATATAGCCTATTCATGCCGTAAATTAGCTAAAAATGTCCTCAAGTAAAATAAGGATATGCGCAATTGTTGTGAAGACCAAAATATTTTTACTCACTGCAAATGGTACTTTTATTGCTGTAAACTTTCACTCCCTCCCACTCGCAAATCGTCACTTCATTCCGTTCTAGTAAAACCTGTTGACGACATGCATGGGCGTATGAGGTGGCAAAATATCTGTTGAAATGGGCACTTTGTAAAATTTATAGCACAGCTAGACCTTGTATGGCTTATTTGAATGAGGCTAAAACAACTTAGATGAAAGGCTCAAATGCCAGAGGTCGGGGGAACGACTCACCACGCCGTCGCTTTCTGCTCCGCCAACTGCAAAATCAACTGAGAAGAACTGGTGGCCTTTGACAAATCGTGACAGCGGGAACGACGTCCTCAGGTCAACTTCATCTGCCATCAAGAACACCACGACATAAGGAAGTTGAAGCGGGATTAGTCATTTAAGAAGAATCACTTTGATACCTGGTGAAGGTTGTGAGAAGTTGCAGTATGGCACAAAAAACGTTGTTACAACGGAGATGGATCTATTGAAAGTCAAAAACGTCCATAATACTTTTTGGGTGTTCACGTCGTTCAAAGTGATGTTAACAGTGCCTAAAATTAGAAAAGGCAAGCTGCAGGAAGGAGAATGAAATTCAAATTATTGGATCCATTTGAGTGGACCCTGTAGGGTTTTCCTTCGTACTGCTTCGTCTTCCTTCTAGATAAGGCTTAATTTATTGGTCTTGCTTCATTGACACGACTACCTGACTTTGCAAATCAACGCCGCTATTGAAAGCAGGCAACCATGTTTGAGTTGGCCAATCGAGTGTTCAAAAAGCCAAGTTTGAGCCACATTACTGAAATGCATCCAAGTTCCTGCTACACAATCTTTGGCTTTTCTAAATTAGCCAATTTTACATTATCAAAGCAGTGCTTCAAATGCACGTGGATAAGGAGGATTCGACGTACCGTTGTAATCCTGACATGGAGTGCCCCAAATTGTGCCATTGACTATGCAGGTGCCATTCTCAATCGTGAGCTGCATCTCTGTTGTCGCATTAAGAACCAGCGCAGCCTAAAGCCAAGGGATTCAGAAGCAAAT